CGTGCGCACCGCGCCTCGACCGCTGCAGTCATGGGGCTGCAGCCCCTGGAGTTCAGCGACTGCTACCTCGACAGCCCGTGGTTCCGGGAGAGGATCCGCGCTCACGAAGCGGAACTCGAGAGGACCAACAAGTTCATCAAAGAGCTCATCAAGGACGGGAAGAACCTCATCGCTGCGACCAAAAGTAAGCGGGGACGCGGGCGCGGACGGGGCTGCGGCGTGGCGAGGCGGGGAGGAGCCTCTCTCGGCAGGAGGCGGAGGGTCTCGTGTCCGGGGCCAGCAGCCAGAGGAACGGGGAATTCATTTCGGACCAGCCCAGCTCGCTCGGAACCCCGGGGGGGTGGTCCCTGGGGTCATTCCTTGTCGAGGCAGCGCGGCGAGACCCCATTCCCGCCCCTGCAGCTCTGCGGCGGCGGGAACTAGCTGCTGCCCGTGGGCCCCGCCTGGCTGCCGCCGAACACCCCTTGCTGACTGCGCGCTCCGCTGAACCGAACCTAGGCTCTCCTGGCCCGGAGTCAGGTTTCATTGCTGCCTAAAGTTACAATCTCTTTCAAAACCTTGGCATCTGTTTGCCTAGTTTTGTTTTGTGACTTCTCAAAAGAACTTTCCTGGGGATTCTTTGAAACCCTGCGGGGGTGTTGAGTTTTCCGGAGTCCCCTTAAGCTTCACCTTTTCCCTCTCATTGTCTGATGTTCCCCGACAGTTCTGTTCCAGGTCCCTCACGTGCCAAACCAGAAAGTCCACCTGGCTTTATGCTGCTTCCGCACATTCCTCCCCTCCCGTGCTGTGGAGGTTCAAAGATTGGGGTTTGGAAGGGCGAGCGGATAGCCTGCCCTCTAGCCCAAGCGGGCACTGCTTGCAAATAGGGAATTCCACCCGGGTTAGGCTTGGTGCCTTCCTCCCCTGAACTTCTCTGTCTCTTAAACTCGGAAGAAGACTTGAGATATGGGAGAGATAACTGTATTTTAGTGTAGTTGAGAGTCTTTCTAGGAGAGAGTGGGCCAAAATTCATGCAGAAATACTGAGTGAGTGATGCTGCTGGAAGATGGGGCGGAATTACCTCCAGTGAGGAGCTGGGCAGCCTGACCATCCCTTGGATCCATAACGCCTTTGGAGGATGGCGGTGAATGCCCCCTTTTCCTCTTTAAAAGACCTGCCCATACAGTAGGGACTTGGGCGGTATCCAGCCTTGAGGGGCTGGGTTCTTAGGGCCTTCATCACTCACCTAGATTCTCAGTTCAGTAATTCTCAGCCTTAGGTGTTCGTCCCTTGTACATTTGTTTGTAGATACCACCTCTGGGGAAAATCCCCCATCTCACTGTTCTCCCTACCGCGCCCCGCCCCAATTTTCATTAAGGGCTATTAAAACATATTGAACATACTGTCTCGGGCACCCAGCATGGTACCTTTTACAGTAAACATGCATTTAATGAATAAGTTGAAGTACATTTCTGTGGGAAGAATTTAGTGAGCCATCCCTGTAATTTTGGAAGCAAGTCACTCAACTTCTCTGGATGATCTCCAAGGTTCCTTTTGGTTCTCTGACCTCTTTGGTGTTGCAAAATCAGGATTGGGACTCACTTAGGGTTTTTTTGTTTGTTTTGTTTTTAAGTCTCTGCTGTTTGAATCAGAAATGGGACTCTGGGACATGTGACAAGTGGGCTTATTTGGTTGAGGGCTCTCCAGGCCCTTGACATCTGGTATGTGAGTTGGGTGGGAAGTAGGGGGGCGCTATACATATGGAGGAGTGAGCATAGAAAGGAGGAGTTGGGGGCGGGGGGTGCAGAGTGAACACGAGAATGAGGACTGAGGACTTTTTCTGTAACTTGGTGTTAATCAGAGTCAGTGGCCAGGGAATGTACCTTCTCTCTCATTGGTTGTAGTAGTTCCCTCTTGAGCTAGAGAGATGTGGGGGAGAGGCAGAGGGCAAAGCCAGTTTGGCCACTGGTAGAAAGCTATTTCGGTGACAGCATATTAGCTTTCCTGCCATCAGGAAACATGCCTTAGGTTCCAACAGCATCCAGTGCATCTGGGGGTCCAGATGTCAGCCTTCCTCCAGACTGTAGACTTTCTTGAATTTGTGAATTGGTATCTTACTCCTTTTGATTATCATCCTTTAGCATAAGAAACATAACTCGTAATCACGCTTTGAGAGTGATTGGAAATTCTTTTTTTTTCTCATTATGTTCATTAAGAATTTGTTTAAATTCTTTCCCAGAAGGTGACAGGAACACAGCTGTAGCTCACATGCCTTTTCCCGCTTGCTCCATAAAGTTTACTTCTAGTTCCTACTAAAGACGAAGAGCCTTGGTCTAAAGTCAGGGGACCTGAGTTTAATTGTTCTTCACCGGTTAGGGCTTGGCCATAGGAAAATTGAGCAGGTCTCATAATTCTTTTTGCGTTCAGCTTCCCCTGCGTACTTTTTCGGGAAACTAATAAGGTTCTGCAGTATTTGAAAATGGCTTGATGAGGTTATTTGAAATTGCAGTCCAGGTAAATGGTTCACCTAACCAGTTGAGCTTTTGTATAACATCAGAGAGTCAAGGAATGACATCAGGTGGAGGATCTACAGAAAAAATAAAACCCATTAGGTCAGATTGTTTGTATTTCCAGATATTTTACATTTTGTTTTACAAAAATGGCCTTTTGAGCATTTTGAGAATTGTGTATTTAAGTGATTTCTGTTTTTAATTGCCCTGCAAGGTGTCTCCTGTGTGCATTACATTCTTGGAAGATTTCAGTATGTAATTTTGATGTCTTGACACTTTGAAATCTTCCACAAATATTTAGAGTTTTGAGGCTTATGGGACCTGAAGGCTTACTGCTGAGTTCAATTAGATAGCAATCAGCAAATATTTAGCACCTACAATTTGCTAAATACTGGAATTAGATACAGATTTATAATAGGGTAGAGGCCCTTGCCCTTGAGTTTATTGTCCTGTAGTTGAATTTACTTCAATCTAAGGAACATTTTTGAACTCCTTACTGCACTGTGCTAAATTCTTGAAGAAATAAAGGATGTAGACACATACCTGTTACAAGGTTAAAAATTTAGTGACAAGTATCCTAACTTTTCCAGGGACAAGGGTTTGTATGTGAGAGTGGAGGAGGTTTGTTGGAAGTTTTGGAACTCACTGGTGATAAGGAGTAAAACCTTATCATACTGGAAACCAGAAGAAACCAGAACACTCGCAGTGTTTGGAGAAGAGTGAAGAGACGAGTTTGCTGGAATGGTGGTTTTTCGGGGAGTGGTAGACTGGGATGAATGGAGAGGTCAGTTTTAGATTATGGAGGGCCATAAAAGCAAAGTTAGGAATGTGGAGTTTATCTTGTGGAGAGTTACTGAAGGCTTTTCAAGAAGGCTGACATAATAGCAAAGAGATGGTTTAGAGACAGTATTGCACATTTGTGTGTAGGGTGAATTTGGAGATAGCACTGAGGGTGGGGAGGAGCTCCAGAGAGAAAAGCCAGTGATTTCAGTGGTAAAGTTGGAGATTATTCACTCAATTCAATGAATTCGTTGTTCAAATGGCTTTTTTAGTTTTCTTTTTAAAGTACTTTCCTTTCTTAGAATAACCAATGTGTTCTTTCGATGGAATTTAAACTTTTGTAAGCCTTCGTGATGTCTATGTAGTTTCAGTTACTTATGATTCATACAGGTAGATAGCACAGTTGCCAGAAACAGCAATAAGCCATGTATGCTTTTCTCATAAATTTTACATTAGGCAGTCTTGAGAAAGTGTACCTTGTTCTGTAGAGAAATATTTTTTAAAACAAATAGTCCTTACAGTTATTAAGCACTAATACAGTGATACAAAATGCTCTGTCGTAAACTTAAATTGTCTAGCTCTGTGTGTGTGTGTCGCCGAAGGGGCCCTCATTAGTGAGTCTGCTGTTACTAAACAGGTATGGAAAAGGATGTAAAGGACCTTGTTAGTGGCAGAGCCAGGACGAGAATTTAGGTCTTCCAAACTTGGTTTTGATACTTCTAGCCTCGGCATTTTAATGGTTTTTGCTTTGTTTCTCTTAGGAAAAACATAAGTTCCTTTAGGCTGTCTTTACGTTTACTGTTTCAGAGAAATATTCTTTTCGGGAAATTTCTTAAGTTGCCATTACATTAAACCTACTGAGATTTGGAAGACTAAAAATAATTTTCCTATTTTGTAAACTTGAGCCTTGGTTTCCTTTTGTTTTTCGTAAAATGGGACTGACTGATAGAGAAAGCCTTGAGGAATAAATAAAATGTTGTGAAAGTGCTTTGAAACACAAATGTAAAATGGTTGTGTAGACACTACTGCTGGTTCAGCCAACATTCCTTTTCCCCTCTGACAATCCAGATTTCATTCAAGTGTCTGCATCCTTTTCAGATGACTCAGGGGAAGGCATTTCAGGGTAATTCTGATTAATCTAACTCAGTGGTTCTCAAGCCTAGCTGCTCAATAAAATCACCTGGGGGAACTGTTAAAGCAGTCAGGGTTGAGAAACTAAACTCTAACTCAGTTACGATAAACCCATTTTCTGGGTTGGTAATTATTATAAGAATGAGGTTGTATTCCAGTTCTGGCCAGTGAGACATGACAGGAAGTCTTCTGGATACTTAAGGGAGAGGTTTCCTTTTGTCATAGGAGACTTGAAGAAAGATGGTTTTCTACTTTCCTGTATTCTCTTATGATGTCTGGAAGTGCTATGCACTACATTGGGCCTGAGCGGCATAGTGCGCTAACTGAATTTGGGTTCTTGATGCTGTTGGGAGACCTGTGGGTGTTTCTATGCTTTGAGTGTCTTGTTAAATGACATAAGACAGTTTTGAGTTGGGTGTTCTGCTACTTAATGCCCTAGGGTTTATTTTTTTATTTTTTATTTTTAAAATTTTATTTGAGATGGAGTCTCGCCCTGTCGCCCAGGCTGGAATGCAGTGGCGCAATCTTGGCTCAGTGCCACCTCCATTTTCTGGGTTCAAGTGATTCTTGTGCCTCGGCCTCCCAAGTAGCTGGGATTACAGGCACTCACCACCACACTCAGTTAATTTTTGTACTTTTTTTTTTTTTTGTAGAGACAGGGTTTCACCATGGTTGGTCTTGAACTCCTGGCCTCATGTGATCCATCCACCTCAGCCTCCCAAAGTGCTGGGATTACAGGTGTCAGCCACTGCGCCCGGCCTTAATGGTCTAATTTTGATAAAGT